CCTTCCAAGTTGCTGGGAATACAGGCATGTCACTGTGGCAAGCTGAAATTTTTTGTTTCTTGTTTTTTGTTTTGGTGCTGGCAATTAACCCCAGCTTTCATTCATGCTAGGCAAGCACTATACCACTGAGCTAAATCCCCCGCCCCTCCAATAAAGTCTCTTGAAGGAGAGAGATTCTATTTGATTTCTTTCCTCCTAGGGAAAGGATCCCCTTTCTCACTGCCAACAGAGACAGCAAAAAAAGGTAACTATATGTAAATAAATATGAAAAAAACTCACAATAAACAACAACTGATCAGCAAAATGACTATGAATTAAACAAATACACAAATATTTATTGATTGTTTCTACACAAGTGCAGGAAAAAGACAGCATATTTCAGAACCATTTCTGAGGATTAAACAGACTGCAATACTATCTTTATTGAACATTCTCACACACACAAAATTACCTTGCAAATAATCTGCCAGGTCTCCACCATTGCAATACTGATACACAAAAGAAAAAGTAATTAAAATTAAGATAGCAATTCAAGATAAACTCAATCTATTCTAAGTCAAATTTGCATATAAATGTCATCAAAAAACATTATAATCAAAATTTTAAATTTTTATATTCTTATAAAGTAGAATCTAAATCACCAAATCAATTTTATTAATTTAAACTTTCTTTTTTTGAGGGGGGCATACTGGGGGTTAAACTCAGGGGCACTCGACCACTGAGCCATATCCCCAGCCCTATTTTGTATTTTATTTAGAGACAAGGTCTCACTGAGTTGCTTAGTGCCTCACTTTTGCCAAGGTTAGCTTTGAACCCATGATCCTCCTGCCTCAGCCTCCCAAGCCACTGGGATTATAGGCGTGCACCACCATGCTCAGCTAATTTAAAATTTCTAATAATAAACTAGTGTCAATTTAAAAGTACAAATTAATCAAAATGAATTTGAAATGAATTCAACGGAAACTTGTATAATACCTACCTCCATCACCAGAAAGACAGAGTTCGGCAATTCCTAAAAAGTAAACATATTAAATATCACACTTAAAAAAACTAAATGCCAAATTTTAAAATAATGATACTTTAAAAACACACTTGATCATTATTAAATTAATAAAGTGAACACACAAAATCTATCAGGAAGTGAAATGAAAAGTCCCAATACAATGACTTAAGCACCTCCTCATCAAAGTCAAAGCAAGGTTTGATAACGAGGACACAATTTATTTATTTTTTTTAATATTTTTATTTTTTTATTTTATTTTATTTTTTTAAGAGAGAGAGAGAGAGAATTTTTAATATTTATTTTTTAGTTCTCGGCAGACACAACATCTTTTGTTGGTATGTGGTGCTGAGGATCAAACCCGGGCTGCACGCATGCCAGGTGAACGCGCTACCGCTTGAGCCACATCCCCAGCCCCGAGGACACAATTTATCAAGAAATTCAATTCTGTTTATGAAAAAAACTAAAGAGCAATTCATCTTTTGGTGATGACTAACCTAAAACAATATCTCAGACAAAAAGCATGGTAAATTTACTAATTATGAAAAGGGAAAGATTATTGGGTCCTTAGGGAAATAGTTGCACTTTGTAAAGTATGAGTTGGGGCTGGGGTTATAGCTCACTTGGTAGAGCGCTCACCTCACACATGTGAGGCATTGATTCAAGCCTCAGCACCACATAAAAATAAAAGTACTGTGTCCATCTACTATAAAAAAAATTTTTTTAAAGTATGAGATGGGCAGAAAAATGACTTTTAATCCTTCCTAGTAACTCCAAACATATTTTTTTTTAGTCTGATTTCTAGAAAACATGACTCAGGATGCACTGTTCTTTTCTCCTGGTTTTTATGTTTACTTGGGGCAATCACATAATCAGGCAAATTGTTGGCAAAAAAGGTTCATCTGATGTTACACCAAGATATGTTCCAAGGTTGTAAGGAACTAATTTGAGAAATTTTACAAAGTCCTTCAAATATATATATAGCTCCAGGTCTGTTTCTTGAGTAAATAATTCAAAGACTGATTAGCTGGCTCTTCAATGACAATTTTTATAACGTTAACTAGATTTTAAATTGTGTCTCCCATGGGTTTAAGCCTATGCTCAACTGTGATTCAAAATATAGTGCTTCCAGGTAGCACCTGGTTTCACCAAGATCCTAAAATCAAAAGATAAAGTATTCAGTGGGAAAAGGAAGAGGGCAGGGCAGAAGGGGGGCAGTTTAGAGCAGTAGTACTCATTGGTTCAAAGATCAACAGAAGAGGTCAAATTCCCATTTTGGTAGATATTCACAATTTAACAGGTATACCTAACTATTTAGTTTTCTCCATTAATTCACTATCTAATAAACAATTATCAGCTATTATCTCACACTAGCCCACTAGTTAACTACAGAAATTAATGGTAGAATTTGAAAAGGTTTAAAGCAATTCTACAAAGGTAATTTTGTCTGCTGAACCTAATAATAAAAACTCTGGAAGCTGAGGTGTAGCTCAGTATTACTGGGTTTCATCCCCAGCACCTCCAAAAAAAAAAAAAAAGAAAAGCAACAAAAACTAGATGTCCATTTTTAGGCCCTCTTTATTTCACCTTTATAATAATTCAAATTTACAAAAGTCTCGGTTCATCCAAATCAGTAATATAAACTAGTGCTTCCTGACAGCTGGTATAGATAACATTCTTCCCTGCAACAAGGAGCAACACAAAAACTGCCATGCAGTTACCACAGGTCCAAATGCTGCAATTCAAAAGACCTCAATGTAAAAGTATGTCTATAAAAAACTCAGGACTGGGACTGAGTTGTAGTTCAGTGGTAGAGCACTTGCCTAATATGTGTGAGGCACTAGGTTCAATTCTCAGTACCGCATATAAACAAATGAATAAAATAAAGGTTCATCAACATCTAAAAAAATTTTTTTTAAAGAAACCTCAGGATGATTTGCTAAACATTTCTCAAGAAGACTAATAAATAATCAAAATACATTCTGCCCAATCAATGCTTTGATCCAAGAGTTATGCAGAAGTTCACAAGAATGGAGATGCCATTTTCTGTTAAGGAAGGAGGAGCCAGTTTCTACCACAGCAGAACCCCAGAATGAAAAGCCTACAAAACTAGCTTGACTTCCTAACAGCAGGGCTCCACTGACTAATCAGAAAAGAGGCGACAACAGCCAGCACCCAAAAGCTGAGAAGATCAAATTTGTAAGAAATAAATGCTTCCTCACATCAGAAATGAAAACAAAATATATTTATAAGAGTTAAATCATCTTTAATGCAAACCAAATAGTTTTCCTCACAAAACCTGATCAAACCCAAACCAAATATCATGTAATCCTTAAAATAATGAAAAATCATTCAACATTGACAACTTTCAATAATATTTTCTTCTTCTCAAGTATAAAGTACAATATTATCTCAAATCAGTGTTGCTTACTCATGTAACAGCACCATATCCAAATACTGCAGAGAAAAGAGAGCTAGGAATTCTTAAGAGAGACTCAACAGCCATAAATAACTTCCGATCACTCAACAGAAGAGGTCAAATTCCCATTTTGGTAGGTATTCACAATTTAAGAAATATACCTAACTATTCAGTTTTCTCCACTTATTCACAATTTAATAAATAATAAATGAAATATCCTGATCTCTCATGCACACCTCCTTTTGCCCACCTTCAAAGCTGTGAAGATCTCATTCTTTTCTCTTAAATACCCCCTCCTTTTAGGCCCCCCTTTACAAAATAGTGCATTTTTTTAAATGAAGTACATAAGTAATATGGAACATTAGTCACTATAAGAGACGGGAAAGAGTTAATAAAGAAAAAAGAAAATGTTCTTTTTCTTAACAGAGTCAGTCAAGTCACTTACAGACAAATAGAAATTGAAACAACTGGTATTGGGACACCAAAGAACTTCAAAGACAGGGACTTGTATAATCAGAAAGACTGAGAAGTAAATCAGAACACCAAGAATTTGCCATGGCTACACACTTCACATAAATTCTCCTTTCCTGATACCTAAAAATCCTCATTCTCTGCTTCTCTCCAGCACCTCTAACCCACAAAATTAAAGTCATAGAACTTTCACTCCATCATTCCCCTACTCAAACTCCTTAATAACTAAGAATTAAAACCTGTAAGAGTTAAAACCTAGTTACTGGGCTGGGGCTATAGCTCAGTTGGTAGAGTGCTTGCCTTGCATACACAAAGCCCTGGGTTCAATCCCCAGCACCACAAAAAAAAAAAAAAAAAAAAGCATAAAACCTAATTACTAAAAACCAAAAAGAGATATTATGAACAATTGTAAGCCAATGTGAAAAACAATTTGATGAAAAACACAAAATGATAAGAGAACATTTGAAAAAGCTCTTAGCTATTAAAGAAATTGAACTGTAATTTAAAACCTTTCTACAAAGAAATTCCCAAGATTCAATGTAATCTCAATCAAAATCCTAGGATGTTTTGGTTTTACAGAAACTGAAAAGTTGATTCTAAAATTTATGTGGAAATGGAAAATGTCAAAAGTAACCAAATGTAATCTAGAAGAATAAAAACAAAAATTGAAAGACTTATCACTATGTTTCAAGGCTTAACTATAGTAAGAAAAAAACAATGGTAAAATCCTGAAGTTAGAGAGTTTAGAAATGAGCCCACACATAAGTGGCTACTCATTTATGACAAAGGAAACACTTCCAGACAAAAGGAAAAGGGTATTTAGGTCAATAAATGGTTATAGGTCAAATGGCTGCCCATTTGTAAATGTGACTAAATCCTGACCTCTATTTCATGCCAAACATAAAAATCACTTCCAGGTAGATGGCAGAGCTAAATGTGAAAGGCAAAACAATAAAGACTAGAAAAAAAATACAGAATATCTTCATGACTGTAGGGTAGATAAAGTCTTCTTATCTATGACACAAACAACTAAATACAAAAGGAAAATAAACTATAGCATGGACTACACTGAAATCAAGAATTTCTGTTCATTAAAATAAACCACTAATAGAGTAAAAAGGAAAGTTACAGTGTGGGATAAGTCACCTCAAATACATATGTCTGGTAAGACTCAAGTCCACAATAATATAAAGAAATACAGGGGCCAGAGTTGTGGCTCAGTGATAGAGTGCTGGCCTCACATGTGTGAAGCACTGGGTTCGATTCTCAGCACCGCATATAAATAAATAAAGTCCCTAAACAACTAAAAATATATATTAAATAATATACTTTAGGGTCTAAATTGCTCTGGCTGGACTCAAGCTTGCTATCTTAGTCTCCCAAATCACTTAAATATTACAAGTATATGCCACCATGACTGGCTAATCTCCAACAAATTAATAACAAAAAGGCAACCCAGTGGAAAACCAGGCAAGATATTTCCATATTAATTTCAAAAAAAAAGATATTTATTTATTGGTACTGGTGATTGAACCTAGAGGTACTTTGCCATTGAGCTATATCACCAAGCCCTTTTATATGTTTTATTTTAAGACAGGATCTCACTAAGTAGCTCAAGGCCTCACTAAATTGTTGAGGCTGGCCTTAAACTTGTGATCCTCCTGCCTCAGCCTCCCAAACTGCTGAAATTACAGGTGTCAGCCACCACACCCAGCATCAAAAAGATAATTATATGGCTAATAAACATACAAAATGTGCTCAAATCAGTAGTCAACAGGAAAATGCAAATGAAAATCATAATTAATGTCTAAAATTGCCAAGTGTTGGCAAGGATGTGGAGCAACCAAACTGTCAAACATCTGCTAGTAGGAGTACAAAGCAATTCACTGGCAGTATCTACTAAAATTGGGCCCCCATGTGCCCTATGATCCAGAAATTATTCTCCTAGAGACTGTCCCTAGCTATACTTATTTCAGCACAGAAGAATGGTGAAGGGGAAACTGAAGGGGAAACCACAGCAACAAGCTGTTTTCACTGCTCCTATGTACTTCTTAAAGGGGCGCTGAGGTGGAGAGAAAGTAAAAATGCTATAAAATCAAGAAGGAGGTCAATTTGGAAAAAT